CGCAGGCCCGCGCCGTGCGGCCTGCCCTCGGGCTGGTGGGGGGTGCCCGGCCGTGGGGCCGTTAGTTTATCGGGTCAGTCTGCTGTTAATTCACTCCTGGCCGGGGTGGGGTGTGCGAGTTGCAGCAGTTGTTGATCACGTTTTCGTGTTTCTGCTTGCCGTCCAAGGAGCTCGAACAGATGGCGAAGGAGCAAGATAAAGAGTCAGAGAAACAAGCCCTGCTGCGGGAAGTGGAAAACCACAAGAAACAAATGCTCAGGTGGGTCGGTGCTATTTACAGGTCCCCTGTAGCCAGAGATCATCTGACTTCTGTACAGCGTCTTTCGGATCCTGTTTTGCACATATGGTCGCTGACATGATGCTGTTTTGCACAAGACAAAGAGAGAGAGGATCGGGGCGGAAAGAGGCGGACTCCCTTCCTCATCCTCTCTCGTGTCCTTTCTCCCTAACCATGGTCTGTCACTGTGGGCAGTTGAGGATGTAAGCATGTGGCCTGAGAGTCTGTCATTTGACAGCTGCACGGTGTGGTTCTTCCCTTGCTCCATAAATGATGCACTTAGGAGAAATGAGAGGACAGTATATTGTTACTCTGTGGTGTAATGTAGAGAAAGTCCATGCATGTATCTGGGGTGCTCAGTTACAGTGGTGACTGCTTTGTGAAAATTGTTTTCTTTTGCAAGGTGTTACTGTTGTATTACAACACTGTACTCTTGTGATTTCAGCAATCAGGCAGCTTGGAGAAAGGCAAATCTGGCTTGCAAAATTGCTATTGACAACTCTGAGAAAGATCAGCTGCTACAGGGAAGAGACTCCTTAAGACAAAGGTATTAAACCATCCCACTGTATCATCTGAGACTTACACAGTGCATGCTATATTCACTAGCTTTAAATGGAAGTGGTATAATGTTTTTGAGTTACTTAATTGTATGTGGAACATAGCTTTGCTTTTATGAGTGCATTTACCTTTTGTGGAGATTTAAACTGTTAAGGATTGTGATAATTTCAGATTTTCTTGGCATTGTCATGTCTAAACAGAAGAGGATAAGATATAACCTTCATAGTTTTTCTGATCATCTTTTATATTCATTCCAATCAGGGTCATAAACAAGTAATGGATCATTATGCAAGCTGTTTTCATATGCAAAACTGGATGTAAGCTTGTGTAATTCCTGTATTGAAAAGTTGGCTTATTTAGTATCGTGAAGCAACAAATGAGATATAAACTATCTTGGGTATCAGTGCTTCTATGCCAGCTCATGAAATTGTACAGTCATGGATGAATAACTGGTGAAAGCTGGGCCTCTGTGAGATTCTGAGCCACTAGCAGTTGTTTTGGCTCATGACTTTAATATTTTGTGATTATTTTTTTAATTGTTTAGTGAAGGTAATCTGAATTTCTCATGCAGTAAAAACTGATTGTGTGCTTTGCATGTTGGCAGAGATGTTTGGTGCCAAACTCTGTTCCAAGCTCCCTGGCAGTGGCATTTTCCTGCAGTACCCAAAGACGTAATTTTATCCTTCCTGCTTTACTTCTTCCCTTTCTTTTTCAGGAAGACTACAAAGGAAAGTCTGGCAGAGAGTGCAAGTAACATCACAGAGAGTCTGATGGGCATTAGCAGGATGATGTCACAGCAAGTCCAGCAGAGTGAGGAGACTGTGCAAACCCTAGGTACAGGTGTTACTTCAGTGTTTGGGTATGGATTGGATGGTTAAAGCACCTTTCACCAGTTTTGTGAGGATGGGGAGAGGCAAACTGACATGGGTTGGAGCACAGTGGGAACCTGCTTTGCTGTAGAACTTACTACGATGATAACTAAAGGACTGTCCAGCAGAACTCCTCTAGCAGTTGGACTTAAATAGATAATAATAACATGTTGTGTGGAGCTGTTGGCTAGAGGTTCTGTTTCATGATTATAAGTAAACGAGGAAAAGGGGGCAGGATGAGGAGCTCTTGTTTTAGCTTCATATAAAAGTAATTGTAAAAGCAGTGTGAGTTCACACAGTGCTGAGAGCGTGTTTGGTGTTTCTCTGTGCTGCTGTCCTGGCATGCATTTGGTAATAGCAGAGAAATTAAAGCGTAGGTACAAGTCCATACACAGAGGAAACGTAAGGCTGAAGACTGTTGTCACCCGGTCTGCAGCTGGGATGACTAAGAGACGAGGAGATCAAGTGACTTGAACCCAAGGTCACTTGCTCTGTCAGCAGTGCATCAGGGACTGTGAAACCAAGATTTCACCCAGTTCTTTGGCATAGACTCCTAGGACAATAAATCAAGTGTCCTGTCAGAACTGGTGATTCGTGAAGCATTTAGAAGTTGGATCTGTGCTGCCTGGGCCTCTTAGTAGCTGTGCTTTTGGGCAGAAGAGAAAACAGTTTAAAGATGTGGATAAATAACACAACTTTTGCCCTCCTTGTTTTCTGCCCCCATCTGGGGATGGCAGCTGGGCACGGTTTGTTCATGCATAAGTAGCATGTTTCCTCTCCCATTAAAAAGACAGTTTGGCAGACACTTTTCACCCTGTTTCTGACTGAACAGCACTTGGAGTTCATCAAGGGAAAAACGATCAAAGGTCATTTACAAAACCCAGCTGCAAACTCTGAAGCAGTAGTTAAATTTCCTTTTTTTTGGAGCAAGTCCTTTCCTAGTATGCAGTGAATACATGCGGCTGTGAAGCAGGGAAACTCTGCTTTGCCATTAACGATGGGAAACAAGTTTTCTATTTTCACTTGGATCAAAATGCCTCTTTAAGATGGGATATAACGGTTTGCAAAATATGACAGACATATTTCTGCTGTGCTTGTTTTTGTGAACCAGACAACATCCTTGGAGTTTGACCTTTCTTTAATCAATCGGTTCAGTATAGAGTGATATATCAGCATTCACTCTCGTACGGGATATGCATTCTGTAATATAAGAAAAAGGGCACTCCTGGGCTTTTGCTTGAATTTAATAATTTGAAAGGAGGAAGGCTGAGGAGTTTGGGATGTTTGCTTGTTTGTTTTCTCACAGGGAAAGACAAATTGAAGGGGACTGATGAGACCAATCAATACACTTTTTGCTCTAGTCAATTTTCTCTTTTTCATTAGGACAAAAAACCCCCAAAGTATTTTGTTTGTCAAAAATAACTATTAAAAATTCTTTCAATTGTTTGAGCTGAATAACTAAGCATCTGTTACTGCTGCATGCTGCTTTTTCACTTTCTGCAACCCCATTTGAATTATGCTGATTTACTACTCTGGCTTGAGGGAACAGTTTCAGTTGTGCAATTAACATTTTCAAATATCGACCTGTCCTGCTGCTAGAACTGATGCTGATAGTGATGGTGATTTGTCTCTCTTAGGTTGGTGGGTTTAGCACCATTCTTACTTCACTCTGCTTCCAGCGAGCTCTCAGGTAGCACTGCTTTGTTCATAAAAAAATGTGAACTAGATTTGGTCTGGTAACGTAAAAATTAAAAAGTCAGGAGTAGGACGTAGGGCCTTTAAACCATTTGGTACTCTTATTTTGCTTTGCGTTTTTCCTTAGCACATCAGGACTACTGAGTTGTGAAAGCTTCTGCAAGAACAGTCTGCATTTGTCTTACCTATAAGTCATTTGTCATACCCATAACGGTTGGACTTGACGATCTTTAAGGTTTTTTCCAACCAAAACGATTCTATGATTCTATGTATTGCCAAATATTCCATGCTTATATCCTTTGTTGTGTATTCTTAAAGCACAACCAGCTGAATTTATTTTTTTTCCCCCCTCTTAATTTCAGCCAATTCTTCACGAACCATCCTGGAAGCAAATGAAGAATTTAAATCCATGTCTGGGACAATTCAGTTGGGGCGAAAGCTAATAACAAAGTACAATCGCAGGGAACTGACGGACAAGCTGCTAATCTTTCTCGCCCTTGCCTTATTCCTGGCCACAGTGCTCTATATCTTGAAAAAAAGACTCTTTCCATTTTTGTAAAATTCCAAAGCTAAACTGAACTATTACAAAAGATCAGAGATGGCATCGTAACGGTAGGGCTTTTGAATAAAATACTAAAGGGATATTGCAATAGCTGAAAGAGCACTGGAGCAGGCATGACTTTATGCTGTCCCCATAGAGCATGTGGCCTGCCTAAGAAGAGCTTAAATGAGCACGAGTCGGGAAGAAGCAGGTAGATCGAGGTATGGAAAGAAGAGATACCGATTTGCCTGTAGGTTTGGGGAACCAGACAAACACTTGAGGAACCGCGCACTCAGAGGTGCCAATCTTAACTTTCAACCTCTCTTCGTTTTGCCTTGACATTAACTTTTGTCGTTGGCTTGGACTGGAATCTGCTTTGACATCTGTGTGTGAGGTGCTGAGAGTAAGAGGAAGGATGGGAGACAGAAACTCAAATACATTCCGTTAATAAACTATTTATTGTATCCATGTAAACTGAGTTTTGTTTAAAAACAAAGTCTAATGGATTGAAAGATCCTGAATAACTTCCAGTGTAAAAATTCTGCTTAATACTTAACAGCAGTGGTTGCTTATGCATTGTTTTTTTCTGGGAGCATAGCACTCATGCGGTCTGGCTCTGTTCCTCTGGCCGTGGGAGGGCTCTGACCAAAGCAAAAATGGGACCCCCATTTGTTACTATTAATTTGCACAATATATTTGAGAATTATGTTGCTAGTCTGTTAAAATCAAAAGCCTTTTTGCTCCTTTTCTTTATAAAATTCCACTTAATACTTTATATTTGCAAAATATTGTCAAGTTGTATGTTCAAAAGTTTTTCTTGCTCATACTGTTGATCTTTGCTCAGTTAGTAAAATCTTTCATAATTACTACCTTCCCTCTCTCTTGTGCTTTAGTAATGGGAGTTTATTTGCTTTAATAACATAAATACCAACCTGCCACACTACATGTAGCACCCTGAAGTAACAAAAACAGTAAAGCAATATTCTTAAAACTGATGTTGCCTTCCCCTCCCGAAATTGCTTCTTTGCTTTTTCAGAGCTGACTGGTAAAGTTGACATTCTGTTTAGGAAATTCTCACAGAATGGTTGAATACTGCCTTAATTTAGTAGCTAGAAGTGAACTTGTTTAAAAGGCAGGGCTATGTATATCCTAAGAAATATGGCATCAAGTAAAGTGCAGTATATAAGTTTTTGTGGAATTTGAGGCTAGCTTACTATTGTAGTTAATTCTCAATAGTACATTTAGAGGGAGGAGGTGAGCAGCGGATTATCTTATTGTCATAGTCATTTACTAGGTCTCATCCGTGGGTCTCATCAATTTACGCTTTTGCCAGCAGCTGCTACAAGCTTGGTTAAAGACGTAAGTTGCAGTAGGTTGTAATTATCCAAACCAGTGTACAGGACAGCTGACATGGTAATTGTGTAACTGTGTGCATCAACAGTAAAAACCGGAATTTGTAATGTAATTCAAAATCAAGGGCTCTGCCTGAAGAGTTGATACACGAGCCGTTCTTCCTGGTGCAGTAAAAAGGGATTTGGAAACTGTGCCAGGAGTGGTACATCTCGCAGAGGGCACTACCACATGGGAGCCGCGCGTTTTCGTGCCCTGGGAGTCCTGTAACACGCAGACTAGACAGAATGGATGTGGCTTTTACTGTATCATCTATTCATCATAGTTCAGTGGAGCCTTCCTCATGGCCTGTCCTGAGATGCAGAATTGCACGGATTGAAATAAGTCGACAATGTGCACATGCCAGTTTTGAATAAGAGAAATTACTTGGTTTAAAAAAGATATATTGCACAAAGTCAACACGTGTGCTTTTTAATAATAATAAAAGCCTTGCTTTGGAAGAAGTGTTCTGAGGAGCAGACTGCTAACCAAGGAGAGCGTTGGGTAGTCTGCAAGTTGGGGCTACAGCGGAGCAAGTTTCATCCAGCCCAGGGCCACGGCTGCTGCGCTCACACCTCTCGCCTCTAGCGTCAGGCTCCTGCCCTCTCGGGAGCTCGTCCCTGTGCCCCTCTGCGTGGATGTGTACAAAAATACATAAAAGTGTGTCCACCTGTCCCCCAGTCTTGGAAAATATGGCTTTAAATACATTAATATTTAAGACATGAAGATTATTTAGATTATAAATAATTTCAAGTGAATTCCTGTGCAGCAGTTCCTATTTTCCAAATCAGCAGTGCAGTGCCGTTTTATGCATGTGCCCCTCTGCGTGGATGTGTACAAAAATACATAAAAGTGTGTCCACCTGTCCCCCAGTCTTGGAAAATATGGCTTTAAATACATTAATATTTAAGACATGAAGATTATTTAGATTATAAATACATTTCAAGTGAATTCCTGTGCAGCAGTTCCCATTTTCCAAATCAGCAGTGCAGTGCCTTTTTATGCAACTTCAGTCAATAAAATTCTCTTTTTATGGACTACTTACTGCTGCTAGGCCAGATGTAGCAGCGTGGCTTTATTCTTTTCAGCCAGCTTGAAAACAGCCTTGCCTTTCTGAAACATGGGACCTGCAGGTGGTCGTACACTAGCTGCCTCCGTATTTCCTCCCTGGTGTGGATGCAATATAAAAATAGGTTGTTGCTAATCTCTGAGATACTGGGACGCTAAACAGAGGAGAGAGCTCTGCTGTAAGCAGTGATGCAGCACGACCGTCTCCAGGAAGTTTCACTTGGTTTATCTTTGTGACGTGCTCCTGTCAGAACATAGATCAAACTTAAAAAAAGCAGCAGCATTCTCACAGTGCTGAGAATTTCAGTAAAGTTTGGTTTAAAGGGGTGATCTTTTTGGATGGGGATTTTAATGTAGCAATTTAGGGGAAAATAAAAGGTTTGTTGCTGAATGTCTTGGGTTTTGCTTTGTTCTCATCTTGTTACTGAAATTTTAGCTTTCAGACCTTGACCTGCTGGAACACTCTGAAAGCAAAAAGTAACTTGTAAGGACCTTCCTTATGACATTTTCTTTCTCTTGCATCCGGATTTCGTTAAAAAAAAAAAAAAATCTAGTCCTTTTGTAAACATACCTACCTGCTCTGTATAAACTGACTGTCAATTTACAGTCCTTAGAGACGAGGGAAATAAGTGAAAAAAGATCAAGGACAACTGGACCTTTTGGGAGAGGGGAAGATTAGAAATCCTCCCTGGGATGCAATGGGTCGATCTGCAGCACTTGGTACTTGAACTGTTTCCTTCCGCAGGCAGCCAGAAAGCATCCAGGCTCCTGATGGGCCACAGACCAGAAAAGAATCAGTGCAGACAGCGAGATAAATGTTATTTCCTCTTTGGGCTAAGAAGGGTGATTTGGTGAAGCACCATCTCTAACGTGCAGGGCCAGCCACCCAAAGTGGTGCCTCGGTAGACACCCTGCCTTGGTGGTTGGGTGCTGGAGCAGAGCCAGAGCTGATGGTAGGTGCCTTGGAGCTCTCCTGGGCAGGGGGATGCTCAATCAGCCCATACAGCCTGCAGCTGGGGACAGCTGAGTGGGTGTGCTCAAACATCCTCCCTCCAGGCTGCAGCATCTGCTCTGGCTTGCTCCTCACCTACAGACCTTGTTCCTGGCTTGAAGGTAGGTCTCTATCTGATCTTTTGAGTAACTGAGCGGGAACATTGACACGGGAAGAGGAGGTGGTTGTGCTTGGCTCTTGTTGTCCAAAACCTGCAATGTTAATCCAGGGAGCATGGAAAGTTGGGCCTGTGCAGTTCTGTGTCTACAAGGGGATTTATGCTTGCATCTTCTGCCTTCTGGGCAGCCCAGTAATCTCTGTGAGCACCTCTGAATGTGAAGGTGGGGTTTGAATCGTGCAGGGTGGTGTGTCTTGGGGTCTTGCTTCTGCTGCATGCCCAAGGTTGTGTTGTGAAGGGTGAAAACTGGCATCACACCAATTTATTTGAAAAGGAGTAGTGTTTTCTTAGGTGCTTCACCCTCCAAGTTTGCCCTGATAAGTGCAGCAGACCCATCAGGGATGGTGAGAAGAGGATGGCCTCTGCTTCTTCTCCTCTTCTGGGTTCAGGCATGACTTGGGGGCAAGGGTTGGAGCTCCAGGACTGCAGAAGGTGTTTTGAGAGCTTTAGAGTAAGAAAGAAAGAGCTCCGCAGACATGCTCAGGGCTGCGCTGCACGCAAGTGAAAGCCAACAGGAATGCTCCTGTTGCTACCTGGACTGCTCCTCTCCCCCAGGCAGCGGGTATCAGATGTGGTCACTGCAACCTGATAGTGGGGTTCGTTGTCACAAAACAGTTGCAGTGAAAATCTTTTTCCTTCAAAGAATAATGCTCCTTTAAAACAAGGAGCAAGGAACTACTGCAAACTTAAAAAGGGACTGAAATCTCCCTGTCCTGGAGTTCAGGGGCTGAGGCAGGCAGCTGGTAGCAATCAAACAGCTGTGGGTTAATGAACTCCTCATCAGCTGAGCGGTGGTTAATTGCCTGTAAGGGGGCTCAAGCCATGTGAAGGACCGTTGGTGTTTTGCTGTGCAGCTGGAGCTGTTTAGGGATGAGGATGGGGCAGTTCTGATGCCTCAGCAGATTTAGATGTTAGTTATTAAAGAGCTTGCTGGTTTGTGAGAGTCCATGTGGAGTCCAGCCCACTGAGATCAGTTTGCTTTTTCTGAACACCTGTGGAGAAGGGGAAAATGGCTGGAAGGTGGCCCTGGATGTGTCAGGAGCCAGGCAGCACTCTCCGATATTTAGCTGTGTTGCCAGCACGTGGTTAGCAGGCTGTGGATGCAGATGTGATCCTGGTCTCCATTCCTACGTGGCCGTGGTGGAAAGCCCGTGGGCAGGAGCAGCTGCCTGCTGGGTTTCTGTGTTGCCATAGCTGGGATTGTGGGCATCTCCCCGGTACGTCCCTGAGGTGTGCAGCCTGAAGGTCGCTTCCTGAGTGTTTACTTAGGTGTATGTTTTCGAGTAAAGTCACCTTTTAGTGATTGCAATAAAATACAGGTCTGAGGGAAAGAATTGGAAACAGTTTTAGCATGTGTCATAACTGTGCTGAAAAGATGTATTTGATTTGACTTGTAATTATTTGGTTATTGGTGATAGCCTCGGCAAATACAGAAATATTACAGGATAACTTGCTGTGGGAAAATAAGTGTACGTTCTCCCCCCTAATAATTAAGGGGAAATGCAGCGTGTATTTGAAGTTCTGCTTTTGAAATGCTTTCCACGTAACTGGCTTTACCAAAACAGAAGGGTGAA